CTGCGAAAGAGAAGCAGAAGAAAGAGGGGTGGGGCAACCTGGAAACAGCAACCGAGAGGGCCCCCGCCTGTCATCTATCTCAGCCCGTCATCAAACGTGCCGCCAGCCATACCACGCGTTCTCGACCCTTGACCTAGTACCATAACCCGAGGTATATCAATTATTGTGAGGGCCGGTCGTTCAAGTTGAGAGAGCTGTCGGCCGTTGTCCCCGATAGGTGAAGTGAGCTAAGCTCGAAGTACCTGACGACCTACGCGTACGACTTCATGCCGCCTGGTAAGCTTGCCTTACTCTTCCTTTGCCTGGGCATAAGACTGGACTGGGTGAGATGGAGTTTGGTTTTCTCAGTCATGTTCTAAATCAAGAATCGGAAAGGCAAATGAGTTGAGTGCAGAAACGGAAGCTACTGCACTCCCATCACACGACATACCCGCGTCCCCGTACCTAAAAATGAAGACGAAAAATAGGTAAAAATTCCAGAAATAAATCAGATTACAGAATTGAAAGAGCGAATCAACCACTCCGAATGCTGCCTTATTCTCCGGACCCAAGATACGGCCCAGATCAGATGCACCGCTGCGAGCGCGTGCATTTTCCCCCTGAACAACAGTTCAATTGAACGACGGGAGTTATCCTGCAAGAGAGAGAAAGAAAGAAAGAAAAAAGCCGTCTGTCCGCCCTGCATCTTGGACTTCTGGGTGTGGAATTCATGATTTCAACACCTTTCGTCCAATCGTAGAATTTCCCCCAGCTGCATCACTGCTCTAGCGTCACCTTGTCCCGTCCCTCTGGGCGGCTACGCTGCTATTTTCAGCAATCTGTCACTGGCCGTCTGCCCGCGACAGACCAATCATGTGCCATTCTGACGGAGCGCGGGGATCGACTTTCGGATCGACGTGGGTGGGCGCTGTGTGCCGGTGCAGGGGTGTACGTGCATGATGATTGTGGGGCTTCCACCTTACGTACACGGTAATAGGTATGTTCTGTGGTAGGTGTACTGCTCTGTTCTGCTCCTATCCCATGATTTTCCCATCCCATCTCAAGGATCCCATGGTGCCAGGTGGATCTTCTGCTTGAACCTTGCGCGGGCCCGCCGTTCTCGCCAGCGTCGCAAAAATAGATTACTGCGTGGCGTGGGCATGGCGTGGCACCGCATGGTATCTCTTTCTTTCTCTTTCACCCTCGCCTTCTCTCTTACCTCGTCCAACGCTTCGGTGAGGCCAGCCCGCTGGGGTGGAATAGGGGTGGAGATGACCGTTTCCAATGTGGAGGCCGGCGATGGCGAACTCGTGGGAGGCGTGGCCGCCAGTAACGGCGAACTCCTTTGTTCTCTGTGGAACGCAGGAACAAAGAGGGAGGGGCATTACCGACGTTCGTCACGGTAAACAGGTAAACGAGGATCGCCAACGACAAAAGAGAACGTTGAACAAAGAACCACTAAGGTAAAGCGGGTTCCCTCTCTTTCGCCCAAACAATGGCACAACAATCTTCAAACTCTGGCGGAACTGCTCACCGCAAAGTAATTCGTGCAACCATCACTTACTTTCTCTGTCTTTTTCTTGGACTTTTCTTCAGTCCGATCGATTCGGGATTATTGGGGTTGCCGAAAGAGGGAACCGCTAGTGCGGCAGGCGAGAAGTAAATTAATTTCTTCGCCGTTATGGCGGTGCCAAGATGCCTCTCAATGGACGTGGGGAAGGTGTTAAGCTTCGCTCAATTTACTTGACGGTTGGCCGTAACAAGACTTCAGCTTGCAGTACATAGTAGGGCCACGGAAAAATAACATCAATCAATTCAATATACCCCAGGAAAACAAACCTTTTCGCAGTGACAACGTCTCGTCTCGAGATGCCGCTCGAGATAAATTGCCCCTCCCCGCTCGCTGAGTTCACTCCACCTTTTACCATGTTGTCGGGCTGTGACGAAGAAGCTTGGCGGGTGATCAATCTCATGGTCACTCATCGAGATTGCGACGATGAAAAGAACAGACGAGTTGCATACAGATAGGAAAAGAAGGGTGGGAGAGTCAGTGACGAGGGCAACTGGAAACGGGGCCAAGGAGCTTGGCGTGTTGGGCTCTTCTTGTCCGTCACCGTTGGAAGCAATTCTTGTCGACGATACATACAATGGTGCACTAGACCACCTACTAGGTAGGCAAGGACCAAATAAGAAACACCACCAAAATAATACCAAGAGACAAGAAACGGCCAATATAGAATTGTAAACTCCTCGAGTCGATCATAGGCAGAAAAAAAGAAGGTTTCTTCGAATCCGTCGCAAAAGCCACCACTCCTCATATTGGCTCTTTCCCGAGCGTCTCGTGACATTATCATCTCAACTACACCCCATCATCCTATACCGTATCACGGTCGAGACCAAGGCCGATTTCTATCCCTATCCTAACCATCGCATGAGAACTACACACCAGCATCGTCTTCTCTCCCTCTTTGGCCGCGGTTTACATCTCTCTTGGCTCAAACAGCCTGCCAAGATCTTGTCAGCCAGACAACTCACACATCACATCGGATCGAGAAAACGAACCTCCAACTACCTTAGCTTGCCTTGAACTTCCGTTCCACCACCGCCACCACAACCCACCCACTCATCGGCAGCTTTCCCCGCGCCTGCGCCTCGCCTTCATCTGAAGTTGTTCGTAATTAACCACAACCAACTTCTCTATCCTACTCAGCATACCTTACCTAACTCCTCACCTTCCCAGTGGTGTGGTACACCGAAACTCTGAAGCACGTCACTTCAACTCTTCCCCCCTCCCTCCCTCCCCTTCAGTTCATGCACAGCAGCACAGAGGTCTGGTTGTGCAAACCGAGTGAGCCGAGCCTCATCCCATCATCCCGCTATTTTGATAGCAACCACACGAAACTGTCAAACAACCCGCCAAAACCTGCTTTTCTATTATCCCGACTACTAGCTTCGCGGGTTCCACGGTACTCTTCTCCCCTCATCAGCTGTCGCCTGCGTCATCATCCACCCATCCATCACTCTTCTCAACCCCTCCCCTCCACACGAACATCACCAACTCTGTTTCGCCCAGCCAAACACCGGCCAAGAGAAATCTCTCCTCTACCCCGCGATGAAAACCGCCGATTTTACAACTTACCAGCACAATCATCGCCACATTTTGAGAAACTCTCTCTCTCCTCCCTCTCACCCATTCGTCCGACAACAACAAACGGGCATCACGAGATGACCTCACATCCCACCCTCACAGTACTTTTTCAAACACCCACAACATGCCGACGGTCCCGCCAAGCACCGCCCCCGAGACCCCCCGCCCCGGAACATTGTAAGCTCGCCGGTCCCCGATGTGCACCGATCCCGATGAACTTCAAAGTCTAGGCTAGCCCATTGAACCCCCCGTCCCCAAAAGAGCTCGCTTTCTCATACACCATAAACGTCACTTGTCGTTCCCTTCCCAAAAAAAGAAAAAACCATCGGATGGACACCTTTCCCCTCCTCGTTAACTAACGGTTCTCGTAAACCAAAACAATCGCAGCCCAGCAACAAGTAACCCACCCATCCCCCCCCCCCTTCTCCATCCCTTCCAAGAAAAACCTCCTCATCGTACCTTACATTGCCAAGATCGCGGCACGGCATCAAATCGCAACCTCCAATATCCACTTCCGTAAAATCATCCTCACCCCCCCCCCCCAAATCGGTGCTTCGCTTCTCACTCATCACGCGGGGGGGGCCGCTGACCTGCGACCTGCGACCTGCGCGGCCCTCAGCCAAACGAGAAAAAAAAAAACGAGAAACAACCACCTACACGTCCCATCTACCTCACACCACGTCATCACCAGAGATCTAATTCCGGCCCTTCAGCCGCAACGTCATGAAAATCGCTTCCCACAGCGATTGCCCCCAGTCATCCCCGACCTCGGGTCTAAACACCCCATAGCCAGTTCTCAACCTCTACCCACCCATCATCCCCCATAAACGCCGGCCTCTCGCAGTATTCCCATACTCCGTAGACAACCCCCTCCCCCCCCGGACATCTAGGCCTGGCATGCCCCTCCTCGATTTCCAAAAGGGAGACAGAGAATTCCCATCCCCAGACCCTGGTTTGCTTCTCCTCCTTTTTCCAATCCATCTCTGTCTCCAAGAGTACTTCTGTAGATCTCTCCACGTGCCCACCCGACAACCATGCTGAGCGTCCCCCTGTCGCTCACCAATGAAATCCAACCTAGACTTCCACTTTCTGCAAGTTGACTGACCCCTCCATGGCCCGGCGGCTACGAGGGAGCCACAGGATACCACAGTGACCCAATAATCCTCCCGTCACCGTCACTTTATACTCTTTTAAGCTGCTTGGAAAAAACTAATATTGGAACAATCCCGTAGCATCATCACTATTTTGAACGCTCATCATGACATTACCCGTCTTCATATCCACTCACTAGCAAGAGCCGCGGGTACCACTTGATCTTCCATCGCTTCATCTCACCAGTCACTGTGCAGCTCTCAGCTCTTTACTTTACTCCTAATCGACTAGGCAAGTGTGCCAAAAATAATTCATAGACTTGATATCTCTCTATGAGACCCGGCTGCGAGGGGCTTGCTGATAATGCTGATCTCGGCATCAAGACCCATTTCTGGCTCTATCACACACTTCCTCGCAATCTCCGCATCCGCCTACTTCGTAGTCATCCGTCCAGAAGGGAAAAAAAAAGACCCAGTTTACAGCAATTCGTCAGAGGCCATGTATGAACCGGACCATGATACCCTGTCCCTTCGGCCGTTACTGCCCATCTGCTGGACTTGAAAACTTTTACCCTTCCTTGGGCCCTCAAACGCCTACACGCCATGTAAATGCAAGAAGCTTCCGCCGTCCATGTATAGCGCTCTCTGCTGCTAATTTCAGGACCCGTCCTTCGTCTCCTAGACGCCTTACGCGGTTGGCCTGTTTCCTACCACGTCGCACCATTTATGTTCACAAGTAATGTCGTAGTCGTTCAATTCGTCAGGGTCGCCGGGGGTTTCCGTCACTGGAGATCTGGCTCTGGAAGATCGCCAGCCGCCTGCATACTGATGTCTGCAATGCTTTCCAGCTGCTCAGAGGACCCGCACGAATTCTCCCAGTCTTGACGGCCGTTCAGTCAGCCGTCACGGTTCCGAGCCGAGGGTGTCTGAATCACTGTAGAGTCCTGGAGACATACCGGAGCCCTCATCCTCCAATTCTTCAACCGTCATGCGGCGCAATGGCTCAAGGACAGCTAGTATTGAGTGTTAGCAGTGACTCAATCGTCAAACACTTGATTACTTACAGTGGTAGAGGTTTTGGTATTCTGCAAAGGTAATGAGGCGATCATTTTCGAGCCCCAGATCGACCCCAAAGAAGGGTTCGCACTTGGCAATAATGGCCTGGAGGTGTTCGGTGGAACGCTTTGCCACCTGAGCACGTCGCTTGACAAAGTATTCCTGAAGGTATACCAGGCAGCTCATGGCAAGCTTCCGTGCCGTTGCGTTCATAGCAGCCGCCAAACTCTCGTCTTCGTCATCGAGCAAGTCATGGTTCTCGAACCACATACAGAGGAGGGTTTCCGTGCCCTGTCGCACATCTGCGTCGTAGTAGCCCAACAGAGGAGGTGCCCACATAGGGATAAACTCGACGTATTGAGGATACCGCATAACCCGAATCTCCTCTCTTTCGTTCTGCAGATGCACATAGGCAAGTCGGAAAAACTCCAGAAAGGCCTGCCCGTCCGTGTTTTGGAGTGCCCTGCACTGGAATGCTATCGTGCGGAAGAGGGCCTGAATATTGGCTGCGTTTCTGCTCTCTTGGGAGTATATCGCAGCTGCTCTGATGTAAGGCGCGTTGGAATACTGTACTGCGCCGCCTGTTATCGTATTCCTGAGGAGTGTGAAGACTCTGTTATCCATGTCGGGGCTCAGGTGAATGATCCTTTTGATGATCGATGTTGTGTAAGCAGGCTCTTGGTCGATATCGATCAGCTTTTTGACAAAAGTACTGCCTGCGTCTAGCTTCCACTCGTGGGTTAAGACGTTGATCTCTTCTGGGGTCCATGACATCTTCGGCGCCTGATGTTCCATGTAAATATCCAATCGCATCTCGGCACTTTCGACGATTGTGTGAACGTCGAGGACATCTTCTAGAGCGTCCATGAAGTGGTCGATTAGCTGGATGATCATTTCGTACGATGTTGAGCGCGTATTGCTGATACGACGAATGACGTTCGTAAGCATTCGAGCGTAGTTGCTGGGAAGGTCCATGTTGGCATCAGCAAAGACAATGCGTAGCACCCTGTAGAACCAATTTTCCGCCATGAGCACAGCAGTCTCCATTGTGCCCAATTGCGCAAAGGCCAGGATAGTCTGAAAAACTTCAGGCCATGACCTGATATTAGCGTGGAAATTGTTCCATAGCGCCTCGAGCAGCTGAACGCACTGCATTATAACAGGGTCTTCGACCAGCTCGTCCTGTGACAGCCCCCACATCTCTGGCCTAGAAGTTTTGATCTGCCGCAGGGCCGTGAGGAAGAGACTGCCGATCGAGTATCTGATGGCAGGGTCCGGGTTTCTCTGCAAAAGTTGCCGGAATGCCTCGTGCCTCTCCTGGAAGTAATCAAAGAAGTCCGCAGCGCAATTAGCACAGTTGACAATGGCATGCTCAATCTCGTCTCGATATTCTTCAAAGTCGGGGAGGTCTTTGGTTCGGGATGCAACTTGGTCAAGGTGGCCAAGGAACATGAACATCGCATGCTGCTCAACGACGTGTGTGTCAGAACATTTCCCACCGTTTCGCATCATGGCATGTTGGAACACCCGGAGCACGAATTTCGAGTGGTTTGGGTCGTAGAGGCAGTGTCTCCGTAGGAGCAACGTATTTTCCCCGTTGATATGGTCGATGACTTCGAGTGGGACCTCGACCTTCAATGGAGTCGGGATAGATTGGCGTTGCAACTTCTCTTGCTCTGCTTTCAACACCGAAGACCGTTGGTAGAAGAGCATGTATGCACTATACGTCTTGTCGTAAGCTATGCCGGTTTCCAGAGACCCATCCGTGCCACCAAAAGTCGACTCTTCCATCTTGGTTGGGTCCCAAGGGGTGACAAGGTCGTCATTGAACTCGAACCAAGCCTCCGAGGAGGCCGCCGTTGGTCTTTCCCGGATGTATGAGTAGTAATGACCGGATTCTGCCGTACCAGCGTGAACGAGCACACCGACCAACTCGAACATATCCTCTTCACCAGGCTCGGAGGGAGAGTCAAGGTGTCCAACAGTGTAGGGCCGCATGTCGATCTGGGTTGGAAACGAAAAGTAATCGTTGATCTTGCTTCTCATAAGCGTCCGCAGGTTGAAATCGAACCGTTTGAGATGGAAAATCAGATTATCTGGAATGTCCTTCAAACAAGCCCTCTTCACTGCGTCCACATGTCGGTCGCAGCTCGAGCATTTATACTTGTTGTCTCCTTCCATGATCTCCCCGTCGACATAAGCCTGGAGACTATCTTGGAGGGTGCTCTTGCCCTTGATATCGCACTGAATCGCCGAGAATGGCTCTAGTCGGTCAGAAACGTGTTCGCACTCCTTGGAGGCGACTTGCTGTACGAGCTGACCGCCGTAAAAGGATCTTAGCGTTTTTCTGTCATCTGCTGTTGAAAGCTGTCCTTCCCAGCGATCAAAAAGCAGGTTGTAGAATTCATCGACATCCATTTGGTTGTGAACGTCGATGACGGTCTCTTCATATGTCTTGATAGACCCGACAAGGAGGCTAGGATCGATGAATTTTCGAGAGCTCTCCTGCATGAAAGCGAAGAGTTTGCGCGTCTCTCTGAGCAGACCGTGGGTGTTCGATTGGGCTGGGATGCGGGCGTTCATCATGAATCGACGGAAGCCTGTATTCATGAAGAGCTGTGTGAAGAGCGAGTTCAGATAGCAAGTGTTGGACAGATTGCGGAGCCCGGCGTAGCCACAAGGAGCCCTCACGGCAGACATCCTGTCGAATGAAGGCTGTAATTCGTAGAGATATGGATCTGTCCTTCTGCATAAGCCGCGCCCCTCAGTAGTAAAGGAATGGGTGAGCAAACCGTTATCAAACTCATCGAACGGAACCAGCGATTCAAGAGCTTCTATCAAAGCAAGGAACTCGTATTCTCGATCGCGAACTAGGTCGAAGATGATCTCGGCGAGAATTCCTCTAGTATTCGTCGACAGGAGAAAATTTCGAATCGAACTCAGGCTATGCTGCCCTGGTTGCGGAAACAAGTGTCTCCAGAACAGCTTTCGGCCAAGGTTTCTGCGTTGATAGTCAGTATCGATGCGGAGTTTTCCATGGTACCCTGTTGTTCACTTACGCTGGAAGGCTGCTTTCCAAATCCACGTCCGATCCCTCGTCAAGGCAACTCTGGATAAGTCTCACTAAACCATTGGCCACAGCATCTTCGGTCCCGGCTTGCCCGAGTCGCTTGACATGGTCAGCACATTAATCTAAAAAGTCCGTCGCAGCGCTGCTTACCTCGGTAGAATCGTGCTCGAGTAGGAGCCTGCCACAGTCGCTGGCCAAAGCAGGAATGTCCACAACGGCAGCTTCATCGAATGCCATCTGATGTAGCAGGACGAGCGACAAGTCAAACACCTGCTGACACTGTTTGGGAGACTTTGCTGCTCTGATTATCAGTCGGTGCAACATTGGCCACAGGAATGCGCAGAACGAGTTGGTATTCGTGTTGGACCTGTTCGATGTGTCAGAGCTTGGCAGATGCTCTCTAGTATGTAATACGTACTCGTAGGGCACGATGACTCTTTCTTCCAATAGCTTGGCGACGTTTGCACGAATTGCATCTGACGGTTCATCGAGGAGTAAGATTCCCATCAACTCTTCGAGATCAGGCAACGCCTTCAGAGACATCCAGAAGGCAGAGTCGACGGCTGCGCTTCGAAGAATGGCCGAGAAAGTCGATGCGATGAGGGGAATCAAGCCGCTGTGGCTAGGAGCAGACACCGCGGACCGAAGGATCTCGATGAGGCGGTCTGCAGGCGCCATAGCTACCGGCTTGGGCCGTACATCGATCTCGTCGATATCAGGGTCTATTGCGACGTTAGATTGTCTAAGTCTTAAAGATCTCCGCAACTCACCTCTGAAAGTCAGTCCGTAGACGTTCATGAAGTTGTAAGTCAGGCGGTTCTGGAGAGCTCCAGAGGCACAGTCACCAAGGATTTCACGATCGGAGATCGCCGCCACAACCAGCGCCCTCACCCTGACGAGCGCGTCTAGATACGCGTCAACATCTGCATCAACGGCATCGGTAAGTGTCGCCGCAGCCTCGGTCAGTCGACGGCCGGCAGCTCCTATGTACTCCGTCATGGCGTACAGGGCATATAGCGACTTGAATGGCTGGCCCGAAGGAAAAACTTGTCGATATGAGGCATCTGACGAATCGAAGGTAGCCAACATGTTTGTATCGGCAGGCAACCCCGTGAGAAACGTGTGCATCTGTGACTGAGTTAGCTCATTGAGACCAGGCCTAGATAATTCGAGTGCAAACCTCTGTGGCAATGACCTCTTTCATACTCAAAAAGTCCCAAAGCTGCTCGAAGTGGCCCAGGATTTCTATTTCCAAGAGGGAGGCACCTGGCTTGATTCTAGACGCCATGGCTGTACCGTTCTCCTCCCGTTTGACCAGGATGAGACCATCGTGGATCTTCAAGTCTTCGAGAGACTGACAAACGTTATTTTCGTTGGGTGCAAACGGGTGGCCGCGGTAGTAAATGCGGTAGTTATCGAAGCCCGTTGCTTGCCTGATGGTGGCTAAAAGGGAGGCGGCTGTATTCTGCCGTCCGACTTCGAGAGGAATGATGTCTGTCTGCTTGTTCCCATCGAAGGACTGGACTTTGAGCTCAGCTGACTCTCCTTCGGCTATACTCGGCGAGCCAGGTGTCAAGGCGCGGAGGTCGGGAGCAGAGAAGTGGTCCTTGGCTTGGTGAGCTTTCATAAAGTGCCGCAGAACCGCAAGAGATCGGCTGAAAGTTCGCTCTTGTTCCAGAGTCTGCTCCTCGGTTGATATGATAGCCATAGACTCATCGTCGCTAGGCTTGCTGCCGTCGGAAGCCTCCAGCCGCTTCGCAGCGTCTAGCATCTGCTCGAGGCATCGATTTACGAGGCCCAGATGAACCTGGCAAGCTCTGTGATGAGGGTATGCCATAATAGACTTACTATCGACATAGATGTCACCTACGAGCGTCTGAATCGCAGCATCCACGAATGGCAGGTCTTTGGCAACCATAACTCCATCTTCAGCGTCAAGAATCATGCGCCAAAGCTGTTCAACTCCGCTCTGCGCGAGACTCTCAACGTCATCCAGTATGATATCATTGATGTCATTGACACGGGGAAGAACGGCGTTTCTGACGAATTCCAATGCTCCTCCGCAGAGACAATTGCGGGGAAGATTCGGTAGGTAGTCGCTGAAGCAGACTGATAGGAAAGGGTTGCCAAATGCTGTTTTGGGGAGGGAGTTCAGAATCTTCCAGCCGTCGTCCCGGTCGTCTTGACTCGCTGCACCATGGCCCACAAGCATATCCCAAAGGCGTGGACCCAGGTCTGATGTGACTGTTGACGGCTCGTAAGCCAGGATATTGGTAATGAGATCTCTTCGAGAATGGTTGACCGCTCCGCCGAGGGTCCTTCTGATGCCATTGTGCTTCCCTTGCTCAATCGCATGCTCAAGTTCATCAATAACCAATGATGTCAAGTTATGGTCTGTCGTCAAGGTTCGTAGCTCGGACGCCACAGCAGGCCGTAATGCCATTGAGAGACATGACAAAGTGCCCAATGTCGTCGATGTCTTTGCAGCGATATCTTTGATGCAGTCGAAGTAGATCTCTTTCCGCACTTCGGGTTCAATACCGTCTCTCACTAGTTCTCTGAACTTGTTCATTGCAAAGTGATGAACGTCTGGGTAAGCAACGACCGAATCCGAAACATATATCGAGGATTCTCGCAAAAGTCGGATGCAGATACTCAACGGCAGCACGCTCTGCGACTCGCCCGCAATTTGGGTTTTGTGCTGAAGAGACTTCAGGCTTTGGTCGCAAAGTCCCCGTAAAGATGCGGTGAAATTCTCGATGGGCAAGGTTTGCATCTTCTCGCACAAGTAGTGCAGCTCCTCCTTGGAGAACAAGTTTGTGATGCCCGTTGTCATGCGAATCAAAGCTTCTGAAACTCGTGGATCTTGAGCAGTGGTGATGGTCTGCCATAGCAGATCGGTTTGCCCGCTACGATATAGGCGAGTAACGACCAGGAACCCGACGATATTACCGCTCTCGACTGTGATTTCGGGATGGCATGTCGGTCCCAAGATGTAGTCGACTAACTTGGTTCGAAGAAGGTACTCGGCCACGTAATTCAAAAACTGCTTGCACTCCTCATCTTCATTGTCGCTGTACCTCTTCCAGCAGGTAACCAGATCATGGCACATGTTCGATGCTGCCAGGACACGCAGCTGCATCTGACTCGACGTGATGAGCTTTCCGTATATTCCAAGTCGCCATTCCAGCGAGATGGCCTCTGGGATGAATTTGGAGGGCAACTCAGGGTGTTTCTGCTGGTACGCTCTCAGGCGCTCTGTGGCCAGTCTGTGTTCACCGTTGAGGCAGATTTTGAAAACCTCCGAAAGCGAATGAATGAGATTTGTTGTCGTGTCGTTTGAGAGCTGAGTTACCTTGTTTTCGATCGTTGCGGAAAACGCGTTGGAAGCTAGGTTGTACAGCAAATGACCGTCCGCCACTCTTACTTTCGCCATCTCTAGGCTCTGGGGGGAGGCTTCTCGGTGGATACCCTGAACAACCTTTTGAAGGATATGTGCAGCAACGCTGCAAATCGGCGCGAGTACGTCCATCAAATGTTGATATCTCGGCGCATTGCTCAAGTGTATCTGAGCTAGCTTGATCAATCCTTTGATACCACCGATTCCCGCCTGGAAAGTGTTCAGCATGTCAGTGCTGAGCAGCTCTTCGTCAGGTATTTGACCGTTCTGAGCCCGGCTATGTTCTCTCTTAGCGAATGACGTCAAGGGCTGCAAAAAGCGAAAGAGAAGAAATTCCGGCTGACGCCGTTCGTCGCCTGGAGACATCTGAAAAGCCTGAGCTGTGATGAAATCGAATTCGACAAAATGAGCGGTCATCCTGGCATAGGCGTGAAAAAATTGGCCAATCGTTTGCCGTGTTTCCAGTGGGATAGGATGTCTGAAGAAGATGTGTGAGTAAGTAACCATTTAAATAAGACGAATCAGAGTACTTACTTTCTAGTCGCCAAAGCCCAGGCGATTTCGGGAAACATGTGCCAAAAGGTGTGATAAGCCACTTGAGACTCGTAGGCGACCCTGCCACCAACAAGGCCAACGTATTTGACGTATGAGACCATCCAGGCATACAGAGACTCTAGCACAGCTTCTTCCGGGGGCGCTTCTATACTCAGTTAGACCGGTACAAGCTTTCTTGAGCTTGAGCTTGAGCTGCGCAGCACTCACGGGAACTTAGATATTGAACTAGCTTCGTGACAGTATCAGGAAGTGACTCGTGAGCCTCGTGGTACGGAAAATCGGGGGTAGGGTCGAAGGATGCAGCATCCTCGCGAATGATACTGACATCGTCGTCGTACGGAGCATCCTGGTCATCGTCGGTTATTGCAACCACCTCGACCTCGGGGCTCTGTGGGCTTGACGACGAAGAAGGTGGGGTATCTGTGATCTCGATAGGAGCTTGCGCCATGTCGACTTCGCCCAGGTCTTCAACGCTCTTCTTCACACCTTCCGAAAGTTCAGTTGGTGGGTCTGGTATGGTCCGGGGTGTCGGCGACACAGGAGAGGAGGAGAAAGGATCGGGCTGGGTGGCATTGCGTAGGTTTATCGTGACCCGGCTAGAGGAAGGTTCTGTCGGAGGCTCTCGAACTGTCGACTGCCGTTCTGGTGTTTGCGGGGTAGAGGAATGTGTGTCTATCTTCATGGCAGAGTCTTGTGTGGCAGCTTCGTCGGGGCGGTTTGCCGCTGGTGAGCTCGAGGTATCGATGCTCGCTTTGGTACTGTCGACGGAGAGGCTCCGGGAGCCACCAGACATGGACGTTCGGCGTCGTTTCCTAGAAGAATCGTCGCCGTCGGTGAAGGGGTTCGGCCTCGTTGAGCTAGGCTCTGAGGAGACCGCGCGATCTGGTGCTTCCGAGGATCCTGTTGGTAGGTCCATCTGGTTGATGCAATGAAGTATTGCAGCGCGGGTCCTGGAGCTCCAGAGACGTCACTCGGGCGCGAGAGACGACTCGGTAGCAGCTGGTCGAAATTAGCATGTGGGTTCTTTTGTCGGCTGGTAGTGATGATTGGAGCCGCGATGGAGGTATGTTGGCGTAGTGATGATGGGGGGTTGTTTTTTTTTCTCTTGGAGAAGTGGATAACAGATGGTGATCAGGCTGCAGCAGCTTGATCCCTCAAAGCAAAGGCGAGAGAAGGTAAGGTGAAAAAGTCGGGGAGGTCGGCGCTAAGATGTCAAGGTGAGGGTGACAGTGACGATAGCAACGTGCAGGCTGAGGTCTAACGCAGCAAGAACGTCAAATGGAAAGCACACGGCGGCGTGTCGAAGGTGGGCTTTTTTGGGGAGGGAGCAGGGGTTGCACGTCGGTCCTTTCGGGTACTTAAAAGAGACGCGGTGCAGGCGTGGAGGACGTGAATCCACTAGAGCTAAGAGCTTTGGAGGGGGAGGGGGGGACTCGTCTGTTTTGGAGACGAACAGATTGGGGGGAAGAGAGATGAGGTAATGAGGAAGAATGGCAGAGACCTAGGTACCTGCTTTGGTGCAAGATTTGGAGGAGCAGGGCATGTACCTTACCTTTGGGTGGTGGGAGTGTTGGTAGTTGTAGCTCCCGTCTGTGAGAAATGGAACCTTTGAGCTTCCGGTAAATCTTGGCTCGCGTTATGAGATAAGTAAGGTACCTAGTAAGGTGTGTAGCTACGATAGCTTGACTATGTACCTTACCTCAAGGCGCTTGGCGAAAAGTAGGTAGAAGGGCGATGCGCAGGTGAAAGATGTTCGGGAGTGAAAAGAGCTGGATTGAGTCTGAAGAGAGGTGTTAGATGAACATTCGATGTCTGCCTTTACATAATTTTTCTCCTTGCGTGACAGACCCAAGGCATACCTCTCTGGGTCTCTCTGGCTTACCTACCTAGGACAGCACTCGCCGGTCAGAGTGGTTGAGGATAAGGTGCTGGCAGAAGCTTTTGGACGATAAGATAGATCCTCGAGATGATAGGTGCGGGGTGGGGTGCCGGTGCAATGCGAGGTCTTTGGTGCCCATGTGGCTCAAGCTCAAGGAGAATAGGTACCTACCTACCGGAACGAATAATCAGGGCACCAAGGTACCTGAGGCACCAGAGACGAAAGTGGAGACAGCCAGAGATGGCGGGACCTTCTAGGCGTAGGTAGATAGGTACCTTGCAAGTTGCACATCAGGCTCTCGCGACACATGGAAGGTGACGGCGACATCAAGCAGCCCTTCTCTTTGCTGACCATCACCTTATTTTTGCTTTGCGATGAATCATTATCGCTAAATTTCCAAGGAGTTCCATCTTTTGCTTGGAAGAACAATTACAATCTGATGGATTGGCAACAGACAAGCAGCCAACTCTGCTTAAGTACTGAAACTACAATCGGTCCACAGGTTGTGGCTCAAGGGTGAGGGAGGAGCACAAATCATGGTCTGTACCTGCCTAACTCAAGTCACACAAATAGACAGGACAAGAATGGGAAGCTACATAGAAACAAGTAGCGGTCAATTGTATTTATGAAAAACTTCAGCTCTCGTCTCTTCCTAGGGAGAGGTTTCGGCCTTTCATTCACGAAATGCATCCAGGTAAAGAAAGGAATGGCTATACTCCAGCAACGTGAGACAAAAAAAATGAGGTATTGTCATTGATCAATGCACTCAGGTACAGCAACCAGTGAGTGACCAGCCCAAAGACGTTGACAATAGGTAGTGCACCTTGTCAAGGACATTCTAACGCCCAAATGCGACTTGAAGTCAAATGTGCTCGTATCTCCAAGTTTGGCCTGAGCTCTGGAAATGCGCCAAAGGAATTTTGGCCGAGGGTATGCCGTCAAATATCATAATCACTTTTTAGCGTCCACTGACCAGAGTTGGTCAATCCATACTACTTGAAATGTCAAGATGCGCCTATGGAAGCTCGAACAGCATCGTCTTCAGTGTCGAAGTCCTTTGGAGAGCACGAGATAGAATGGAGTTCATGAATCTCGACAGAGAGTCCTCCGTACTTCTTGGGGCGAGAGATGACCCTGGATGGGTAGCTTGGTTCACCGGCTGCTCATAGCAGGCAGCAACCCAAAGCCGGGCTCCTCCATGTTCCGGTCTACCTAGTTCCATCCATAAGGTACGATCGTGTGTCTGTACGGGATCAGTCGGAGTCCCAGCTTGTTATTACATCGGCGACCTTGGGTATGCCCAGGGCAAAATGCCTAGGCAGAGCAGCCTCCGACCCGTCCCAGAGCATTGTCACATTTGAGTCGTCTCATATGAGCACTCTCTTTCGGAGTCCAGTCTCGTATCGGAACCGACCAGATGACACATGAAAAGCTTCCGTCACTTTGGTCATAACTCAACGTCGCATTCGGCCTCTCGGCGACCCTTGCGCGACCCGGCTCTTCCATCCGCAGCTGTCTGTCCGTGCCCCCCGAGGGGCTTGGAGCTCATGCGGGGCCGGTATTCCTAGCGGCCCATGTCCATGCAAACTCGCCTCAACGACCCCAACGTCGACATTCAGCCGACTGCCCGCATCGACATCATTGGGATCAGGTACCTCAGAGAGCTCAAGAGGGCGTCCAAAGGCCCTAGTCAAGGACCGACCTCTGTCACTACCTACTTTCCAGCCGTGTGCCAAGCTCCTGGCCCGACTCATCATCACCCTCCAACTTCCAAAGTTTGAAGCTTTCGATGCCCGTTCATCTGTTTCCTTCCTCTAATGATCCATCATGTGGCGCTAGTGCCACTTCGCTTATCTGTCTATCGGCCGCTAAAGCCAATTACCTTAGTCCCCTTGTTGCTTACGACTGACGAGTTTTATTTTTGTCCTTATTTCTTTTCTTTGGGCAACGACTCGCAAGTGTTGGTATTGATCCCTCCAGCCGTGCATTTTGGTCAACAACCAATTGCATGACACCTCCTGCTATAATTATCCCGATTGGAAAAGCCAAGTTCAACTCGATTGTTTGCTGTTTCCTACAAGCATCGACCAAGCCTTACGGGCCAATACCCATCCATGATTTGAACTTCTCGAGCACCAGCCACCCAACTCCAACTTTCAACTTTTGGTTTGCTAGCCCCTGAACTACTTCCAGTGGACCGTCAAATCCAACGTCTCTCAGTTGCAACAGAAATTCACAGGGCAACCATTACGCTCTACTCGTCTGCTCATTCAGCTGCTTCACCTGGAAACTCACTCTCTGGGGCACGGTACTGGTTTCGCTCTCGACTCGAGTCCTTGACTTGCATACCAAACGACCAATCGTGACGTCTGGTCACGTTGAGTAAGACATCAAAATGGCCAACCAACTGCGTAAAAAGTTGGTGCATTCAGTTGGCACACCATTTTCAGCAGTACAATGGTAGGAGTGCTTTTGAAAGGTCTATTTAAGTACTCGAATTGCTTACACACTGCAGGCCCGAGGTCGCCTTTGAAGATCAAGACGCCATTCTAGAGTTACTTTGCAGGTACTTCTTTGAGATTCATACTCGGGCTACTGGCACATGTCTACATTGAAATTGAGCTAACCAGACACACAGTCTGTTGACACCACTGGGTCAACACCGTCAAAGGCACGTTAAGCCTTCGGAAGGCAAACGGGCCGCCAAAAGGAAGAGAAAGGAAGAAGGAGCTGCTGGCAAGGAGCCCGAGAAGAGCGAACGTCCACCACTGCCAGAAATCGCGTCTTTCGTCGACGTTGGTCTGGCAAGCATCACCCGCAACCTCGAACGACTCGCATCGACGCAGCAAGGATTAGAGCCAGACACCGATGGAGCCAGCACGGCGACAGTCCCCCCTGCTCCATATGCCCTTATTTTCGTCGCCCGCTCCGGCCAGTCATCGGCCTTCAACTGTCAACTGCCGCAGATGGTAGCCGTGGCCTCCAATACCGCTGCATCAGCGTCCGCAACAAGATTAGTCGGATACTCCAAGCCATGTGGCGAGAAACTCAGCGCTGCCGTCGGTATCCCGAGGGTCTCGTCGATTGGAATCCGGGTGGGTGCCCCAATGTCGAAGGCGCTGGTAGACTACGTTCAGAAGCACGTCTCGCCTATCCACGTCGCTTGGTTGGACGAGGCAAAGGATGCTGTCTACCGTTCCACGCAGTTGAAGGTGGAAGAAAAGATGGTACCGGCCAAGAAGAGCGGCAAGGCATAAGATAATAGGAAACGCCAAATTTCTGCTCGACTTGAAAGAATTCCTACAGCGAAATACAGATGGCGATGAGATACCCATAGCTCGCCCAGCAATGCAAATCGACCTGCCAACTCGAATACCCAGATTTTCCCATTCTGCCCTCGCTGAATTAGCTTTTATTTGATGGTATGCATATGCTAGATATTCGAGGTAAATAAGGGGACTGATTGTCAGTACATGTGCCTCTCCCATTCACCCATGACGAGGAAGAGCGACGCCCACAAATGTAAGCGAAAATTGTCTTGTACAGGTGCTTTGGCATTATGCTGGCTCCCTGCTTGATATCTGAAGTAGACGTCTCTTCTTCTTCTTCTTCTTCTTCTTCTTCAACATGAACCTCAGCTGACGAGTGCCAGATAAGGCGGATATCCAATAAAGAGCTCTGTGATTCTTCTGTTTTGTTACTTTTGCTGCAGCTATGTGCTAGCCCTTCACGCCCAGCCTAGCAGCCCGTCAAGCCTTCCCACATGAATCGGTGGCCCTATGGGACAAGAAGAGCAGCATACTTCTACTCTCCAACATCATCTGGTGATAGTCCTCACACCTTCCCAATAAAAACATTTCTTCCGTCCCATATACTTGTCCCAGCAACCGTCCCAAAGACCCATTCCGTCCCATTATCTGTTGCCGTCTCATTTTTCTCTATGCCCTAAGCCGGGTGAACCATATTTGTTTACTCTGATTTTTCTTCCAAAGCAACCTGCCTATGCCTGCCTTTGACCCCTGGATTTTCTCCCAAGC